AGAATCAAATAAGAGCCTGTATTTGAAAGTTATTTGTAAATTGCAAAAATTTATACAAATTTAGGAACTTTCAGCACCTACATGAGACCCAGTCTTTGCCACCACTACCCTCTACCCCCATGACCCTGACCATAGAAATATTTATACTCAGGGCTTCAAGAAAGCAGTAGGGAAGATGGGCAACATATTGCTGGTGCTGGCTGTGGATTCATGGAAATCAGTGAAAGATCAGAGTGCCTGTAGCTTGTCCATGCCTTAGAACAATTAAAGTATGAGGACGTGTGGCTGGGGAGAAAACTTTTAAATATCCATGAGACCTACGAGTCCCATTTTTTCCAAGGAATGTTTTTGGGCCAGAAAGAACAGGGAAATTACTGAAACATTTTTTTCTTTTTTTTTAAACTTTGGATAAGGATCTGGTATTTCCTTTCTTCACAATCTCCTCCACTTTAAAAAAAAAAAAAAAAAAAAAAAAAAAAAAAAAAAAAGTCTGGCCAATGGAGAAGAGATTTCTCCTGCAGCAACAGGCCAGGCAAAGTTTCCCTGGGAGACTCCCTGATGTTGCTTCAGAATGCTTCCTCTGCCACCTCCCCAAGGTCTATCTTATGTTTTAGCCTTGGAACCAGGCTTTCCACCACATTCATTAACCACACCTTTCTCCCCAGTGCTCTACATAGCACATCAGCATTTCAGGCATCAGGCTAAACAGCAATTTACCGATTGAGGCCAGTGATGCAGAGTTCAAAACTGAGAGATTTGATATGGATAAGAAAGTCTGGGCTTGATCAGCTTGAGATACATTTTCTGAGAGATTTTCTAGGTTCTTGAGTACCATATTTCACTTTTATCTCCCCTTTACCCTAACTGCAAGATTAAGGGGACTATGGATAGAACACAGGTCTGGATATCCAATCTGTTAACTAGCTGTGATTGGGCCAAGTTACTTGCCAGTCTCTGAGATTCTATTTTTTCTTTGTTAAAACTAGGAGTCTGGTGGAGGTGGTCTCTAAGGTCCCTTAGAGCTCAGATATTTTGTAATTTATTACTTTAAGTTCATATGTAGTAATTATCCAGGCACTAAGGCTCAGAATGCATTCCCCAAGAAGCTCCAGTGTAAAATTTTCCTTCGTCCTCCATACATTGGTCTTTTCTTTCACTGTGCTCTTCCGTGTACAGTATCTAAATTCTACATTTGTGCCAGACCTGTCTGGGTTTCTACTCATTTATTTCTCCCCATTTTCTTCTCGATAGTCATACATCTCTTTCTCCAGAGGGAATGTGGAACATAGGGTCAGGGCTTGAGTATTTTGTGGACCCCTAAAATATGGCACTTATAAAGATGTCTTTACCCATGAAACATTTTTTACTATGCCAGAGATGGAGTACATGTGTTATAAAGATGATTGGAATAGAAATAATTCACTCTAGATTCACCCTTGTTACCCCCTTTATCACTTCCTTTCTCTTACCAAATTGGTCAAGCCCAGTTCATAGGGCAAAATTTGCTACCTCATGAATTGCTGTTCCAAATTGGCAGACGAAAAATCATCATGAATTCACAATAGTTAGGGGCTGATTTTCTGAAAAGCAAATCAGTAGCTTCCCACTGGTGGCCAATGGAAGACAAACTCCTGTGAGCACCTTCAGAGTGGAGACTCAGACAAATGGTACACCTTGTCAGTATATTGGGGAGTTGAGTACTTGAAGAAGGACTCTGATCTTTCCCTCTTCTCATTAAATGGGAAATGGTGACAACCTGGAGATGGAAGTTTTATGCTGAGGATGGCAGAGGCACCTGCCAGCCTGGGACTCTAGATAATCTCAGAGAGTCGGGCTGTCTTCCTGCCATAGCTGATCTGCCCAGCTCTGGACAGCTACTTACCAAGCAAACCCAAGTCTCTATCTGGAACTTCATCAATCGCTACAACATTCCCACCACAAACCTTTTACTCTATCAATGTGCTCACCACAACAATTCACTTATATATTTCACTTATGACAATGACACTCTTCCTCTTTTTGAAAATTAAATGGCGTAAGTCCACTTTCAGTCTTTCCTGTTATTTCCAATTTTCAAATATCATTGACAACGGTCAGCAAGTTCTCTGCAAGGTACTAGCATCAGGCTGCAATGAAATGGAGACTGCTCACAGATAATTTTTTGAAAAGAAAAGAATGACTTCCTGTGGATTCTGAGAAAAGTTCAGATTTTAATTTTTTAACTAGTTTCCAAGAAGATAATACTGCACTGCTGCCAACCAAATTGAATCACAGTAAATATAGTTCAATAAATGGAATAAAATTATTTTAAATTAAAATACAGGAGCCACTGATCTGCATTTGCTAGAATATATCAGGGCTGAAAGTTTGAATTCTACACTTACGTTAATGTCTGTTTTAGAAATGAGATACTAAAATGTTGCAGGTTGAGGTCCCCGGAAAACAGACACTGAGACAGAGATTTGAACACAGCATGTTTATTAGCTCTCAGCATGTACACTTGTGAAGAAGTGAAGAAAGCAATATTGGACAAAAACAAAAAAGTTGAAATGTGATGTAGTCAAGAAAAACCTCTGGAGCTGGGAGAGCCCTTCCTACTTATCTTAAGGCGAAGCAATACCCTAAATAGACAAACCACTGGAGGTAGTATATCCCTGGGAAGGGAACATGACCTTGGAACAAGCAGTTGTTTAACAAGGACAATTCTTGAAGTGGAACTCAGCTGAGAGCCATTAGCCCAAGGCACTCCCAGCAGCTGGAGGAATGCTTGCGTGGGTCCTGAAGGAGTGCAGTCCAGGTGATGTGCCACAGCACTCACCAAATACAACTTCAGACAGCAGACAGTGTGACATTGGCCAGCAGACCTTTACCCAATGGCTTCTAATCAGACTCAGCAGAACTACTAAGCAAAGATTTAAAAATTGTCTCTTGACTAACCTCACAGCAACGAACTATATCATTTCTAGAAATCTGGACACTAAAACAAAGATATCTTTTATCACCAGTCAGACTTCACATGACAATTTTTGGCAAAGCAAGACATGTAAACTTGACTTAAATAACTTATTTCCAATGAATTGTCCCATTTTCAGCATCCAGCAGACTTTACCACACTATCGGAAGTGATGTCTTGCCTCTACGGGATCACCCCATTGCAATGGATGGATTCTGATACTGCAGGACTGTATTTCTAGATGTACCATATGACCCAGCCATCCCATTACTGGGTATATACCCAAAGGATTATAAATCATGCTGCTATAAAGACACATGCACACATATGTTTATTGCAGCACTATTCACAATAGCAAAGACTTGGAATCAACCCAAATGTCTATCAGTGACAGACTGGATTAAGAAAATGTGGCACATATACACCATGGAATACTATGCAGCCATAAAAAAGGATGAGTTTGTGTCCTTTGTAGGGACATGGATGCAGCTGGAAACCATCATTCTTAGCAAACTGTCACAAGAACAGAAAACCAAACACCGCATGTTCTCACTCATAGGTGGAAACTGAACAATGAGATCACTTGGACTTGGGAAGGGGAACATCACACACCGGGGGCTATCATGGGGAGCGGGGAAGGGGAGGGATTGCATTTGGAATTATACCTGATGTAAATGACGAGTTGATGGGTGCTGATGAGTTGATGGGTGCAGCACAGCAACATGGCACAAGTATACATATGTAACAAACCTGCATGTTATGCACATGTACCCTAGAACTTAAAGTATAAAAAAAAATTAAAAAATAAAAATAAATAAATAAATAAATAAATAAACAAATAAATAAAAAGAAACTCAGGGTATGCTTGTTCCTCAGTATAGAAGGCCAGAGTGCAACGGAAAGATGAGAGAGAGAATATCCTTCCTTGCACCAGTACATATATTTTCACCTCCTGTGATGCTCAGGCATAAAATGCTGTTTATAACTCAGGTTTTAAGTTGGGAGTATAGAAGAAGAAACTTCTGAAAATTTACCCCTGCAGGCTTAGGAGCTCACTGGAAAATTTTTAAGTCATGCATCAGATTTCTATTCGTTAATAATTCTTTTCAGAAATTGTAGTTAAAGTGCTTATGTTTATAAAACTATTTCAGAGAGTTTATGTCAACCTGGCAAGAGGAACTATACTTTTGCTGATCCTTTCAACCTGCATCCTTTTTACTCTTGTGCTGAGTGTATGAAAAGTCTTAACCTTTTCAGCATGTTCTTCTTTTCAATCTGAGTTTTCCGATCTGGGCATCTCAGGAATGTGGACAGTTCATGTCTGTGTTCTCAGTAGCTGATGCTGTTTTTGCTTTCCCACATCTGTACTCTTTCCTAGGTCAGTTAGAGCAGTTCCATCAACTTGGAAGGTCTGCCTCTAGCTTTTTTTTTTTTCTTTTTTTTCTTCTTTTACAAGAAAACCTGCAGTGTCCACAGAAATTCATATGTGTGTGTATTATCTTCTAACTTATTTGCTTAAAATGTGGCACAAATTATTCTGACACCCTTAACAGTCAACTGGAAAATCTTTCTGAGGTGGTTTCCAAACATTTTGCTCATTAGCTTTTTAGAACCCTGCTGGACTTTATGTTTTTTTGTTTTGTTTTGTTTTGTTTCCAAGTCTAGCTCTGTCACCCAGTCTGGAGTGCAGTGGTGCAATCTCGGCTCACTGCAACCTCCACCTCCCAGGTTCACGTGATTCTTCTGCCTCAGCCTCCTGAGTAGCTGGGATTACAGGCATGCACCACCAAGCCCGACTAATTTTTGTATTTTTAGTAGAGACGGGGTTTCACTATGTTGGTCAAGCTGATCTCGAACTCCTGACCTCATGATCCGCCCACCTCAGCCTCCCAAAGTGCTGGGATGACAGGCGTGAGCCAGCGCGCCTGGCCAGACTTTATGTTTTAATGGAGTTGTATAACTCAAAATATTCTCAGGGTGTGTGTAGCTGTGTGCATGTGTATGTGAGTGCATAATCCAGGCGTGCATTTTTTTCCGTACGTTCATAACCATATGCTAAGCTATTTTGTAAATGTTCTGGAGCAGAGCATAGACGATCACAACAAGCTCAAACAGAAACCTCCAGTTTTAGTACTCAGTTCAATTTAGTCTAGTCTTCTTGATCCCATACAGAAGGGCATTATTGAAAGAGCATTAAAAATTAATACACATTTATAAACTCAAAGAAAAAGGCTTCACAACCTCTCTTCGTAAAGGAGACAGGGGCTTTTGCCCCATGGCTCTGCACAGAGCATCTCCTTGTTTGCCCCATGGCTCTGCGCAGAGCATCTCCTATGAAACATCTCTTGTTGCCCCATGGCTCTGCATGAGCATCTCTTTCTGCATTCCTCAGGCTGTACACAACAGTGTTCCAGAGCATCTCCTTGTTTGCCCCATGGCTCTGCGCAGAGCATCTCCTTGTTCCTCAGGCTGTACACAACAGTGTTCAGTAGGGGAGTGATGACAGTGTAGATCACTGCGATGAGTCTGTCCTGTCCCAGGGAACTCTGGGACTTAGGCTTCAGGTAGATGATGGAGGCACAGCCTTAGTGGATGATGACCACTGTGAGGTGGGAGGTGCAGGTGGCAAAGGCCTTCTTCCGACCTTCAGCTGAGGCAATCGTAAGAATGGTGGAGATGATGAGGACATAGGAGACAAAGACCAGATCCATAGGTAGGACAAGGACACAGACACTGACAACAAAGTTGATGATCTCATTGACAGTGGTGTCTGTGAAGGCCAACTTCAGCAGGGGTCTCACATCACAGAAGAAGTGGGAGATGACAAAGGCATCACAGAACAGCAGGCCAAACACAGATGTTACTTGGACAATGGCCATGCAAGGCCAATCCCCAGTGACACAGAGGCCAGTTGGATACAGGCCCTTTTACTCATGATGACTGAATACCTTAGGGGGTTACAGATGGCCACATAGCGGTCATATCCCATGACTGTGAGCGGGAAGCAGTTGTTGATGCCAAAGGTGAGATAGAAGAAGAGCTGAGTGGCACAGCTGTGGGTGGCAACGGGCTGGTGAGGATTCAAGAGACCAGAAAGCATATAGGGAATGATGGCCACAGTGTAGCAGGTCTCAGAGATGGATAGCATGCTCAGGAAGAAGTACATGGGGCGGGGAGTGTGGAGATGATGGTCCAGGTGAACAATGGTCATGATAATCACATTGCCAGAGAGAGTCAGCAGGTACAAAGTTAGAAAAACAACAAAAAAGACAAGTCTGTACTGCCACCTGAAGCTGGAGAAACCTTCAAAGAGGAACTCAGTCACAAAAGTGGAATTTGGCTTTGGCATCAAGGTAGGTCTAGGTTTGAAAGAGCTGGGCAGAGGAAAGGAAGATGTGATGAGTTAATCATGAGAGTAAGCTGGACCAAAGCGTTCTGTGAAAAGCATGTCCATCCTCTGAGCAACGCCCTAGACCTGTTGTCTACTTGCTCAGAATAATCACCTGTCCTCACCTTCTTCTTTGGAAGCATAGAAGGGTACCCTAGGACTCTGGGATTGAGAGCAGAGATAGTGATCAGGAGGTGGTAACAAACTGAAAGAGATCTGTAGAAATAACTCCCTGGTTCTTCTATTATTATTATTATTATTATTATTATTATTATTATTATATACCCAGAGGTATATGATCCAGAGGTATGCTTGCTGGATCATATGGAGGTCAGAGGAACATCCATACTCTTTTCCACAGTGACTACATCATTTTATGTTCCCACCCACAGTGCACAATTTCTCAACATCCTCTCCAGCACTTGTTATCTTTTGATTATAGATTAAAAAAAAATACTAGCCACCCTAACTGTTATGAGGTGATATTGCATTGTGGTTATGATTTGCATTTCCCTGATGGTTAGTGACACTGAACATATTTTCTACACCTGAATTAAAATCAAAATCTAGAAGAGATATTTGCATTCCCATGTTCATTACAGCACCATTCACAATAGCCAAATTGCGGAAACAACCCAGCTGTCCATTGACAGATGAATGAATAAAGACAATGTGGTATGTACATAGAATGTAATGTTGTTAAGCCTTTTTTAAAAATGGAAATCCTGCCCTTTGCAACAACTGGAGGACATTGTGCTAAATGGTATAAGCCAGTCACAGGAGGACAAATATTGCATGATTCCACTTAGATGAGGTATTTAAAATAGTCAAAGTCATAGAAGCAGGGAATAGAATGGTGATTACTGGGGAACAAGAAAGAGGAAGTGGGGAGTTGTTGTTCAATTCATGTAAAGTTTCAATTATGCAAGATAATTAGTTCTAGAGAGCTGCTGTACAGCATAATTCTTAAACAATACTGTAACATGCACTTAAAATTTTTTAAGATAGTATATCTCGTGTTACGTGCCTTACCACAAAAAACAAAAAGCAAAGGGACACAAGGAAGTGTTTAAAGGTGATAAATATATTTGTTACCTTAATTATGATGATGATTTCACAGGTGTATGTATATGGCCAAACTCACTAAATTGTACACTTTAAATGTATATAGTATATTATATATCCATTGTACTTCAATAAAGCTGTTTAAAGAAAGAAACAACTTCCTGGCCATTGAAGGAGTGGGCCTACGTCAAGGAAGAAGCAGGTGGTCATCAAATGTGCCTAGCTCTAGAGTTCCTTCTCAACACACTCCTGAATTACTTCCCAAGGATCCAGTGAGGAATAGTGAAGAATAGAAGATGTGAGACTGATTGATATCCTTTTCACACTGTCAGCAGTTTTCTATGCCAAATGCCCTGTGAGAGTCCTGAGAATGCTTCTCCTCCTCAGAACCCTAGGTCCTGATCTTCACTTATCTAAGCCCTGCATCTAAAATCCTCAGTGACCATCAAAGAGTAGAAAAGGGAACACTTCTACCGATGACTTTTTCTAGAGACCTTGCAATAAATATCACTTAGGATCATAAAAAATGGTTTGATATGGTGTTGCAATATTTAGATTGTCTCCTTGAATTCTAATCAAAGGTAGAAAAGATGACAAAATGAATCTGAGGATCATTCTTTAAGTAGGAAATAGACTTTTCTAGTATGAGAGCAAAGATAATATTCATTTAATCAGAGAAAGAGGAATCATCCTATTTTTTTACTTCAATTTTGCATATTCCAAGCTATGTTGTGGATACAAATAAGCTGATCCACCTTCCTTTTGTCTTACCTCAAGTAGACCCAACATGAAAGATTGTACTGGCGCAGATGAACCTTGCTCCTTATACCCACATCTACTCCTGATAAATTCTCATCATGTTTAACCATTATCTCCATTCAGAAAGCTGAGGACTGTCCTAACTACCACCCTTCCCTTTTCCACACAAAGATAGTGCCTCCTGGAATTCTCTCTTCCTGTCCCCTCCACTTCATGCTTTCTACCAATGCCCAGCTACTGACTGCCATCACCTTCCTCTATGATCACCACAAGGCGTCCTAACAAATCTGTCTTCTTTTGGTTGATCTTAGTCTAAGTCTTCCTCCTGGATGTTACCATTAACTTTTTTCAAAAACCTGTTCATGGAGCCCTCCAGCATAAATTCCTCAATAGCTCCTCAGAACCTTAACCATAATATTTAACTCATTTGTAAGTTGAGTATGTTAATATTTCATAGAATTGCCATGAAAATTAAATGGGTTACTTGTATGAAGAGTTTGACCTAGCATTTGACATACAGGAAACCCTTAATAAATGCTAGTGTTATCAGAAGTTACAGTTATTTCTTTTTCATTTTCCCCAAATTAGCAAGTTTAAATTTCTAAGAGGATCAGGGGTAGGGGTGGAGGGGCTTCAATCTAATATTTCTGGATTTGTAAACAAGTATGCGAGTATCCTAACGTTAACTTTGTAAGTGTTGTAACTTCCCTTCCAGTTGTTCAAATGGATTTTTTAAATGCTCTTTTAAAATCTTTCTTGAAGTGCATTGACCAAATCCATGCACTGCTGCATGTATTATACTAACACAGGTGTGGATTAAGTTGAGTATAATTTTCGGTTTTGCCTGTAATCCTCTAATCCCTTTCCTGAAGATGCTCAATATTTTACTTCTCCCTTGGGTCATAGTCGCTCATCCAACTAATATATCTAGAAACAATCTGCAGTGACATCTAGATCCCTTGCCTGGGTTATAATTGATAGTGTGGAGCCCATTGCTGCAAGACCACAGTTTCCTTTACACATGCATACATTAAAATTAATTCACATTATTTTCATAATGTAATTTTATTTTATTAACCAGAAGATCTTATTCAGGTCTGTGGCCTTGAATATTTGCCTTCCTCTCTTCCAGATAGTTATTTAAACTGCTAACACTCCCCCAAAAATGTTATCCCAGCTCATCTAAAAGAATAATCAGTAAAGGGATGCAGAGTGGAATGGAGAAATTTAAAATGTAGGCAAGGATAGGATTACTCATCTAAAGTCTAGGAAGTATAGGTGAGGAGGGAAAAATGTGAGATAAAAAAGTGGAGAGGGTACAGATAGACAGAAACCTCAAAATTCAGGTAATGTCTTTGACTTTGGAGTTTGTATTGCCTTTTCTTGCTTTCAAATAAATTACAAAAAATGAGAAACAGGCCTGTTCCTGGCCCAATCCTAGATGAGCGTAGTGTTTACAATGTTTCCCTGAAGAAGAAAACTTACTTATCCTCCTTTCCTGAATCTTTACAAATCTCCTGTGCATTTTCATTTTATGCATGGACTGAAACATCACACGTGCCCTGTAAATATGTACAACTATTACGTATAAATTTTTAAAATGAAATAAGCCAGGCACAGAAAGAAAAATATCATATGTTCTCACTTACATGTGACAACTTAAAAAGTTGATCTCAGGGAGGTAGAGAGGAGAATGATGGTTACAAGAGGCTGGAAATGGTGAGGTTGTGGATGAAGAGAGGCTGGTTAACAGGTACAAACATACAGTTACAAGGAATCCATTCTGGTGCTCAATAGTACAGGAGGTAACTAGAATTTATTTTATATTTCAAAATTTCTAAAAGAGAAGATGTGAAGTGTTCCCACCACAAGGAAATAATAAATGTTTGAGATGATGGATATTCTAATTACTTCAATTTTATCATTACACGTTGTATTAATGTATCAAAAATCACATGCACCACATAAATATACAGAATTATATATTAATAAAGCAACCTTTGAAATCTAATACAAAAAGTCTCCTGTGCATTTCAATTTGCTTAAACTACAGTTGTGCTTGATTTTACCAACAACTTCTTCAAGAGTTCAGTACATTGGGAAGTCACGAAGTATAAGTACTGTGCTAGTGCTAAGAAAATAAAGATGACCCAATTGGTCTTTTTTCTCCTGGAGCTTAGATTCTTGGACAGCATTAGGTATAGGATCCAATTACAGTCTTCCAAGTACTTTATGGCCCTTTTCTCTACATTAGTCTATTCATTTACATTTCCAACTTCTTAGAAATCACATTCTTTCTTATGAGAGCCCATGTTCCCCCTTCCATAGACTATCACTGGCTATGCAATAACAGTATATACTATCAGAAACATTCCCCATCCCAGCAGTAAAGGAAGTGAAACTCATCAAGTAGCAGTTTTTTGAGTCTTCTAGGGAGTTGTGCTTATGCCTGAATTATATCCACCACTCTGGAAATTTGACTGCCTGCCATCATGTATTATGGATCTTTCTTTCTTTCTTTCTTTCTTTCTTTCTTTCTTTCTTTCTTTCTTTCTTTCTTTCTTTCTTTCTTTCTTTTCTTTCTTTCTTTCTCTTTCTTTCTTTCTTTCTTTCTTTCTTTCTTTCTTTCTTTCTTCTTTCTTTCTTTCCTTCCTTCCTTCCTTCCTTCCTTCCTTCCTTCCTTCCTTCCTTCCTTCCTTCCTTCCTTCCTTTCCTTTCTTTCTTTCTTTCTTTCTTTCTTTCTTTCTTTCTTTCTTTCTTTCTTTCTTCTTTCTTTTTCTGATAGTTATACAATGTTTCCCAGATTTTTGTCAATGCCTTTTCTAAGATTATTTAAAACATATCAGTTATTTAACTAACAATCACTTTATGGAACTAAGGTATTTTACTGAAGAGCCTATGAATTTCCTTAACAGAGGGTCACTAATGTCATACTGAGAAGAGCTATAGCTTTTCCCCCTTTTCTGGCTAATCTTTAGATAGCACCAAGAATGTGATAACTAAAGGAGCTATTTAGAGAGGAAGGAAATAATACCTATCTCAGTCTTCCTGTGTCTGACACCAGAAGTGAAGCCACACTAAGTTCCCCTAGATTCTCACATGCCCGTCCACTGGAAGGATTTCAACTTTGGGTCACAAAGCATTAACTTTGGCTTAGGTGTTTTTTAATAAGGTACAAATTGTCTTTCCCCAGTACTAGATGTCTCTGTCTCCAAAACAACACTTACTACTCCCAAGTGATAATGGCAGAAGACACAATCCAAACAGCAGAGCATCT